TACTACTGATATTTTAAGGCGGTCCGGGAAAATGCCTGTGTATAATGAGTGATTACAAATGTGGGTTAATGGACGACTAATTAAAGCTGAACAAGCCTTCAAAATTTTACTTGTTATTTCATCATAACCTGATGAGTTTTTTGATTTGAGGGAATTTATTACACTTTTCACCTCAGTTTCGGTGGTTGGAATGATATTAAGGCCAGAAAATTTTACAGGAAATGCAGCTTTTAAAATGGAAACAGCATCTTCTGTCCCTGTTTGATTTAAATTTAAGCTTTCAGTAATTGTTAGAAAAAACTTAATGGCTTCTTCAGGCTTGCTTCTGTTTGAGCCCTGGTGTCATCAATTTTTTCTTCAGTTAGTAAATGTCTTTTTGAGATTTCTATTTGTCCAGCACTGATCCCATAGAGTGTAATCTTAATCAGTGTTGTAAATCATTGCTTTACACAACACTGTACTGTTAGGATACTTCCTACAAAATTTTCTACAGCATGTCCTCCATGGAGAATGCTGTACAAATGTATAGTGTATGGATAATTTCTGTTTAACACTATTTAATTTTTGAGCACTAAATTTCTTAACCCTGCAAACTGTATTTTTTATACATATCAAGAACAACTAACATGCTAAACAAGTGGGGCTGTCAGGATATGCCAGCAAGCATCAGGTGGCTAATCAAAGGTTTGGCCAGCATGGGTGAACAAGTTTCTAGCCAGCCTATCGGAAGACATATTGGATTTCCTGTGTAAATTTGATTGAAATGTATACAAATTACGTATTATTTTAAATTTGCTCCTTCAACAGCACGTATCTGACAGTGTTTAACTTAAAAACTTACATTTTACAACAGGGTTTTAAAGTCAGTAGTACATGTGGTATTTGAACATAAGGCAGCAGGTAAGATGAGAATTATGATTTTTTAAAATCCTTCGCAACTAAGAAAATAAATGACCCGGTAGTAATTAGTAACAAATTAAAAAATTAATTTTGCAGGCATGGTAACAAGTGGTCTCGGGTTGGCATTTGGAACACACTTAATTACTACATGAGGTGCTATGATGAAATGATATGTTTATAATTTTTTGATAGGGGTTGAATTTTCTGCAGAAATGGTTGGGATTCCTGCACCTCCGTACACGAGGTGGACAAGTAACAAGATAGAGTATCAACATTCCTTTATTGTGCCTTGTTACAGAATGTAATGCTGCTTTTACAGGAAAGATAACATGGTTATGTAAAACAAATTGAGATGTGTATAGATGCAAGTGGTTTCTATAAAACTAAATTTTTGTCTGTAATTTAATTGTTAGTGATGGCCTGATATGTAAAAACTGACTTTCTTGTATTGTTATAAAGTAGCTTAATTTTTCAACATTGATGCTTAGATTTTGTTGCTTCAGATGCTCTGAATGAGGAATTGTTTCTGCAAGACAGAACTGCAGGATCTTCAAAAGAAGTTACCATGTGCATGGAGACAGGTAGTCATGATGGTACAACAGTGTCCAGGTCTTCCCATCTTCATTTAATGGAAAGTGGCCTGCAGAAAGCAAAGGAGGGGGATGTACCTGAGAACAGTGACAGCAGCAGTAGCAGCAGCAGCAGCAGCAGTAACAGTAACAGTAACAGTAGCTCTTCTAGTGATGCCATAAATGTGGCCAACAGTTGCAGCAAGGTTCCTGGCATTTGCAAGCAACGAGAAAGCAGTTCAATTTGCCAGACTTCTAGTGTGGAAGGTGCAAGCCAGATGATACCAAAAACAGGATTATTGTGCAGAACAAACACAACACAGACACTTCAGTTTGCAGCTGGAACAGAGAGTGCCACAGAAGTGGGAACATACCATGCTTCATCCAAGTTATCAAACCGTCTGGAGTACATCAATGACATAGGATATCGGTTGTCAACAAAGATGACACCAGAGAGCCAGGATTCACCTTGGCGTTATATGCCAGTGGTGAAGCGGGTACGGGTAGCCATTCAGCCAGTAGTGGTACAGAAGGATGAATCAGACATGACGACAGAACAAGTGGGAAGTTCTCTTCACCTGGCAGATAGGGATGGATCTTCTGAGGCTGAGGATGTTTCACAAGATAGACGCTCATTCTTATCAGATACCAAGTTTGTGCCTGCGGGCAGGAAAACTAGTATAGCTGCAAATTCTCTGCATGTTAATCCCAATACAATTCACACATATCGTAAAACAGAGAGTGAAACAGAAGAAAAGCGACGAATAGAAAAATTGGAACGTATAGAAATGCACCAAAAAATGGCAAGACTTGAGAGGGAACTAAGGTTGCAGAAAAGTTTGTCTGAAGAATGTGAGGATCTTGGTGTGGATGAACCCAGCACCAGTGAACTTTTCCCTGAAGCTGACCTTTTGCTTGATCCAAATTCATCACCTAGTTTTGAACAAACAATGCAAGATACTTCTTGTAATCAGGCTGTGGAAACAACAGAACCATATACAGGTTCAAGTTTCAGGCATGAATATTCATCAAGTAGCCAGGAAGGATCTCATGGAAATCCTTGTGTGGATAATCAGGTTAGTGAGGATTTAGAAAGTAGGCGTGAAACCAGGTCTTTTGGTTCCAAAAAGTCGTATAGTGATTGGAAATCTCGTTTGACAGGTAAAGAGCGGAGCAGATATAACACAGCTGTTAATGTTGTGCAAAGTCAGAAGTTAAATGCCCAGATGAATGTGGTGAAAGGTAATTTATCAGGCCAAAGTTGTTCTCTAAATAATTGCTTGAAGAGTGCATCACAGAGCTGCTCTTCTGTGGAAGACTCAATGAATACAAGTTCCAAATGTGATGATGCCAGTGAGGGTGTTGTCAGCAGTATAGTCCTTGATTCATCCAATGAGCACACTGAAGAGTCTGAATCTGGCAAATGTAATAGGAATGAAGAAGCATTAATTGGTGACCAAGAGACTTCTTTGCCTGAGAAAAGCATTTTAGCAAGGACTCTGAGTATTCCACCAAGAACTGTGGTAGCACACATGGACACTGTAATAGAAGAATCACAGGATAGTGGTCCAAAGCAGGTTCTGGCTGGAAATACAACCATTCCAAGTGGATCAAATGTTGAACCTAAAGTAGACTTACCTGTTACTAATTTAAGTGAAGATAGTGTGACTTTGGATTCTTTTTCCACAAGAATGGTAGCTTCCTCATTGGATGTAACCATTCCTTCTCCAGTCCCAACAACATTGTCTTTGATACAGCATTCCCACCTTCTAGAAACTTCTGGTACAAGAGATCCATTACCATCACTTACTGCTGCTCAAAAATTTGCATACACTTATGCTAAGAAGCCTTTTACCAGTCGGCAGGATGTTGGCCGAGCCATTAAACGAGCACGACTCAACAGACCCAACCAGTATTTTAATGATCATGTAGATTCCCAAGAGACGTGGGACTCTTCAAGTTCACAGGATAAAATTGGTGCAGATGATGAAGATTTTGATGAAATGAGTCCCTCATCTCAGATGTCTTCTCAACTAGATGATGGGGCCACCACCGATGTGGAAGTGGTTGAGATCAGTAATGATGGGTCATCATCTTCAGCACTTGCATCTGTTCATTCTTCAGCATTCCCATTGCTTCCTACTGTTCTTAACAAAGTTCCAGTTTCAGATTCCCAGAATACTGATGTGACCTTGAAATTGTCTAGCACTAATGGCATGGATTCAACTGATAGAAGTCCAACGAATTCTGAAAAAATACTTCCAAATAAAAAGAATCGTCCAGTCAAGAGGGTTTTTACTGAAGGAGGAACAGACAAGGATTTTATAGAATCTAATGCAAAGAGTGGGAGGATCAGAGAAGGACATAGATTTGATCGGAGGGATTTGTTACGCGATAAAAGATTCAGGGACGTTCCTTCCCTCTCCAAAATAAATGTGCCAACAAAGGAGTCAACAGTTGTGTCCCCTTCTGTTGATATTAATTGCAGAAGGCAGCAAGGATTACATACAAAGCTGCAGGGAGGGAGAGAAGGTGGTGAGGATGCGAGTGTAGATCCCTTTACTCTTCTGCTAACCCCAGCTTCAATGGCAGAAACGGATACAATGCCTGTCCCAGATGAGGAACATCTTGTTTCAAAGGTGCGTTTGGAAGATAAAGGTGATTGCCCCAGTGGAGGAACATGTGAAACACATACAAAACCCACAAGATCTTCAAGGAGACGTGGTCATATCAGGAAGTGCCAGTGTTGCAATGGATCACCAGAACGACCAAAGAAGAAGAAACATGTTGTAAGGGTTGAGAAATCTGTTAAGAAAGGTCAACCCCCTAAGCAGATTGGCAAAGTGAGTGCAGCAAAGAAGAGGTAGTGGTTTTCCATTTTTCTGTTTATGTATTAGATGCTAATGCATATTTTAGTGTGAACCCATAAGTACACAGTGCTACTTTAAATTGCCAAAGTTATGAGACAGGTTTCAGGGTGGATGGTCTGCTGTATGAAGATACATGTGGTTAGATACCTCAGTTAAAATCTAGTCAAAACATTCAGTTTCAGCTGAGGTACAGATTAACTACACTTTAGTACAAAATATATATGTATATATACATACATACTTATGTGTGTGTATACATGTATATATGTATACATATAAAATATAAATTAAACATAGTGTGGATGCCAGTCCCTTGTAATAAAATGATTTCAGTCTTTCAGTAAGCATTTTATTGTGTAAAATATAATATTGAAACTGACTATTAGTCCAGTGGCATAGTAACAATTTTAACAGTTCTTGTGGTAGTTTAACTTTCAAAGAGCAGTGTCACTTAAATAGCTTGCTCCTTTCTAAACACATGAAAAGGAAAAGTAGAATCAGAAATTGGCACTCACGCTGTTTCAAAAACTCACAATTTAAGTTGCATATATGGCCTTCATGTAGAAATTTGTGGTAATTCATTTTGGCTACCTTATTAATTTAGAACTTAGATCATCTTCAGCTTATGGCTGAACTGTGTTTGTTGGGTGCAGTAAGGAAGGTTGTACTTACAACTTGAAATACACCCCAATCAACAGGGAGCTCTGCTATTAGTGCATATGACTCAATTCAACAACTGTGTGATGTGTTTGTTTATGAGAATGCCATGTTCATTGAAAGTCCATTATAGAATGGATTCTGTGAACTGGTTATTGAATTTAAAAATTATTTAATTCACCAAGCAAGAGATTTTGATTACCATCACAGTTTACAAATGGTGTGCCAGGTTGACTACTGAATGAGGAAGTAGAAAAGTAGAAAGTGATACTTTCTGGCTGTATTATGAAAGTAAGCTCTTGGAAATGACAGTGTATTGAATATAATACTGTTTCTGTGTGTTGGCTAAATACATGTGTATTGTTGGGTTCTATTTCTGCATATGAATATCCTTGATCCAGATATTGGGTTAAGATATTCAAACTCTTGCCTAACATCCAGTATGTAACCTTATTTATGTATGAAGTCTACACTGGTCTGGTCTGTCCCACTATGAAATGATTTTTGGGTCTAGCTTTACTGGGCATGGTAACTGACAGTCGAGTACAATAGATTTTATGCTAAAGAAGAATAACTTTTATTTAATTTTGAGAAAAGATTATAATTCAAGTCAAGACAGTCCAGACAATTCTGTTGTGAGTAGGAATATTTTCATGTAAATATAAATTGAAATGTCCTTTTTATGTGCAGAAAGTGATGAGTATGTAAACATATTTTTTAGTACAAGAGTGTTAAAGTAAGTGCATTGAAGCACACCATGTCTTTCTTGATATTGTATGTGATGACTGTGCTTGGACTTCTTGAATGCTGAATTTTTATCATTGATGATGGATTTGCTGATGCCACAGCCCTACTCACAAGAAGTATAAATATGTATAATTTTTGTATTTATGTGTTGTATATGATGGAAGTATTAATTTAATTTGATAGTACCAATGCTTTACTGTCATAAATAATTTATAACTAATATAATTTTTGGGCATGTTTTAGTGATATTACTTCCTAATGATTTCTTTCAAAAGTAATTTACAATGAAATGGCTAAATTTATCCTAAATATTTTATTTGTTGACATATTTAATGGAAGTCTTTATTTGTTGATTTTTAATTAATATGAACATGTTGATACTTCATTATCATAACGAATAAATATCTGTAAAATTTTGTACATATACTGCATCCCTATAAGGAATTAAATGTGTCTGTTGTATATTATTAATGTATATTCCTGTACAAATTTAACTAAACACAGAGCCACTGAGAGAAATTAAAAATAATAAATGTAATCCACATTAAAAATAAGGAAGAATTGATTGTTATGTGTCATGGGGAGCATACAATAAGTCTCAAAACTTTTTATGCCATTGCATTAGAAATGAAATTATGAGACCTGCGATCTTTTCATACTGCTGGTGTCTAGTATTGGTAACAAAAGTATGAACTTCAGCATTCACTTGTCATTGCTGTTATTCAAGATTGCAATAGTGAAAGTGGATGTATAGAGGCTGTGTCATGAAGTTTATAATTACTTAGTTAACATTGCTGAAACATATCTACAGCTGTTTGAAGTTTTCAAAGATAATACTCTGTTATTCTCCATGATGTTTTAAATGTGTACATGTTTCTGAAAACATCAAAAAATCTGTTATGGATGCAGCCTGCACTGGTGTGCCATGCATTGCTCTCTCATACAACATATTGAAGCATATATCGTAACCTAATTGGATTATCTAATAGTCTGTGGGATCATTTGTATGGACATGGTCCATAGAAATTTGAGTTGTGAGTGATGCAGATCAGCAAAACGGTCAGGTAGAATGGGAGTGAACACTGCATTCCAGAAAGTAAGTGTGTGTTAACAACAAATGAAGGAGATAAGTTTTTGCTCACACTCGTGTAATTCAGGAGGTAACTTCTGTTGGAAGAGTCATGGCAACTGACTTCTGGGACAATCAGTTTTCTTTGCCAAGTGGAGCAACAGTGATTTGTGAATATCATGCCTTTGTGCTAAAGGAATATTTGTGAGAACTGGTAAAGTCCACCACTAAAAGGGTGTTCCTCACTGAGACAGTGCCAAACACAGTGCTTTAGAAAATGGTCTGGGAAGTGCTTCAGTACCATCCCTCTCCTTGTAATACAGTTAAAACTCACTTACCAGTAATTTCCATCTCTTTGTGCCATTGAAGGAGTTGGTGGGGGTCAAAACATGATGAGCAGATCCAACAGCGTGTCCGTCAATACCTGCAGTGGCTTCAAGAGACTTCCTACAGCTTGGTTTATGAAACTCGTATAGTAATGCACAAAATATGTGGAACTGAAGTGAGACATGTACAAGGTACATAATAAGGTCTTGGAATTTATTGCATGCTCTTAGTACATAATAGTAACTAGCAGTTGATACTAAATTTTGTTTTGTGCTTATGTGTTCATGTTGGTGGAGGGTGAAAGTTTGAGGAAAGAAACAGTAGTGCATGAGGAACATTTTTTAATCTGCTCAGATTCACATTTTTTTAAATTTCACATACTGTAGAAAATATTAAGATTGCGAAATAATGGGTCTTAAGTTTTAACAGGGTGTACTTTTCAGGTGCCTTAGTCTGAAGAAGTGTTTTTTCTTATGCTGACTGTGTAATCATTTGTGTCTCCTTGTGCTTAAATTATGAATCACATTTCCTTCATACACAGTATTCTTTAGTTTCATATTTTTGGTTTTGTATGAATATATATGCGACAGTACATAAATTATGGGAACTTATATGAAGCCTGAAATGTATGATCATTTTTAACAGTTTTATTGGTGTAAGTTAAATTTACTAATTTTAAGATAAATATGTTTTCAAACAATACTGCATACAGAATTTGCTACAAAATAAAAGTGCGATGTCCCAAGTAATTGATAGCGCATGCAATAGATACAGTAATTCCACCATTTATGATTTTCTGTGAGACTAGTTTATAAACTAAAAGATTTCAGTAAGGGTTTTCTTAGGGTTGTAACAGTATATGTGCCACATTGTTAGTGCCAAAATAACAATATATTAAGTTCTGAAGCTGTATATATTTTGTGTAATATATTGGAAGGCATTAGTAGATGCATATTTTAAACCCCCCAAAGTTTCCAACCTTATTTTTTATTGTTGACATTTTTTAAAAGTTACACTGTATTTGACTTCATCACATGATCTCAGAATTTAAGTAATCTTTTACATTTTCCTGTTCTTGGTATTGTTTATTATAATTGCGCTTACGTTGCAGATATTTTATTGTGTTGTGTCTGGGGCATTTGTTATTTAAAATGGGGTCTGCTTGATACTTCTAACTCCAATGTCCTTTCACTCATTTTATATGTTATTCTGAATTTCATTATATTTGCTGCTCTTTATTTCATGCAAGAGGAGTCTTAATATCCTCTGCTTTTATTTTCATTGTACAGACTGTTTGGAATAAACCTAGGGCATCTGTAAACATCCTACCTAAGTCAGTAGGTGGCTAGTGGGGGTTCATTCTTGTTTTGAGATCTAATTTAGTGCAAATATTTTAAAGTGAAACTAACAAATGCACAGGTTACAAGCTTGAAAATGGAGATAGACTATTTGAAGTGGATCTATATTTGTTGAAGAAAATAAATTATAATTCAAAAGTAAAATTAAAAAAACCCTCCATTACATTCTATGATGAGTCAGTTCAAAGGAGAACACATCTTCACACCTTCCTTTTCTAAGATATATTTCAGCATTATCCACTTGTCTATGTTTTAACATCATCCTCTGATCAGCCTCCAAGAGGTCTCTTTGCACCACATTTTCCAACAAAAATGTTAAGTGCAGTTGAAGTCTGAAGGTTTCTGATGATGATGCATTGTATTAATAGTATGTTGTAAAATTGTTTTGGACCTTGTCCATTGTCTGAATTATAAAGTTATAAAACTACAGTGTTTTGGAAGCTGAATTCTGCATCTTTTCGCAGGTAGGGGGGTGGGGGAAGTGGACAAATGCCTATCGGTTGGGCCTCCTGGTTGAGCCACCCTCAGACCTGAATGTGGGCATGTTATGTGTGCATGTTTAATAATACTGAAGGACCATGTGTGGGAGGGCATAAATATTAAAATTTTCTAAAGCTTATAGCATTATTTAACAGTTATCAAAATCTAATGTGTTGCAGTTGGCCATTCCAGAAGATGTATAATGGCTAGTATGAACAAAATAAATTTATTTCATATTCAAAATGTACAGTTGGCCTTGTTATACCATTAAACCACAGAATTGGATACACCATGGGTATGAACATGCCCCCAAGACAGCTATGTTTTATTTCACAGACATTTTTACAAAAACTTATTTAAGTTTAGTGTATGGCCACATTTTTTAAATTTACCCACACTATGGGATCATTACTGGGGGGGGGGGGGGGGGGGGGATGGATCTATGCCTCCACTTTCACATATGTTTTTATGGTGTGCTAGAAAGTTCCAGGGATAACATTACCCATACATTCTTTTTCTCCACAGAAAAAGAAGAAATACCAAAATACATAAAAATAATAATTATATTCATCTTCCCAAAAAATATTTATTTTTATTTATTTACTTTTTGTTAGTATTCTAATTGAAAAATAGTAAGTAAAAATAAGGATTTGGTGATAAGGCAAATTTAATTGTTATTTTTGATGTCTGGTATATCTGTAAAATATATCAAGTTTGTATAATTTATGGGTATAAGTATTAACAGTTTTTCTTGTGACATACTCCAGTCTGCTGTCAATGAAATATCTTATGGTCTTTAATTAAAGACTTATGGATACTGGCAGCTTTTTGAAGAAAAATTATGGAATTTGATGGTTATTTTCTCCCTTTTGGGGGTCCTCCCTGTGTCTGATATATTAGCACAGTCATAATATTGTATCCTTTATATATATATATCTGTGTGGATTAGAGCTTCTTTGTTTACACAATTATTACACTGGTTTACACTAAATTTTGCAAAAAGAAATTTTAATGCAGGGATTATCTCAGTGAAGCTTTTTTAGTTTTTTATTCTGTTTGTGTCCATGTGAAAATTAAATAAATTGTATGTCTTCCATCATATATAATAGTAAATTTTGCATCATTTCATGTCAAAACAAGATTTGCCTTAGGAAATATTGTGCACATTTATCTGAACTCCTGGAAGTGTGTCTATAATGTAGAATTTTAACTCCCAGAGGACAGTGATGTTAAAAGGAATCCATCACATGTGGTTTATAGTACCACCCACTCATTTTCTTCCACCTTTACTGTACATTTGTTGTGAAAAATGTTTCCAAAACTTTGCTTTAATGGTCATGGTATGTGGGGAATGTAGCAGAAGGAATTCAGTCCTGTTATGTTCACATAACTCATATTTTAGTGTTTGTATTAATGTTATGATTAGATGTAACTCACAGGAGTAGTAAATCATCTCTGAAATATATATACTTGAATTTAGTATGTATAGATATAAATACATGAAATCATATGAAGCAATTGAAGGAATTCTTGGGTATTTTCTTATTCTAAAAGTTAATATTCTGACACATTTCCATATAAGTTGCAGTTGCATTGGTAATTAATTCTTTGTTTTCAGTTGGTAATTTCATATGCATTTGCTTATAAAAAGGGTGTTATGAAAAGCAAAACTGAAGTGTTTATATAACAAATGTCAAATTGACTGAATGAATCTTCATTTTGGGAAAATTTAATTAGGATGTTTAAAAATATCCTCTGAAGGCATTCGGTAATGGAATAATGGAACAAATCTGACCAGATGTAGCTCATAGTTACTTGAATTGAACAACCTTAGGCTTCAAATTGAATAGAAAAGCATGTGTTTCAGTGTGGCCAGGAAGAAATTTATCCCTACAAGTGATCTTTTTTTTGGGTATTGTATGTACTTGATCAAGATTTTTAAAAAAATGTATATATGCTGTAGAAAGTGTAAAAATTTAGATTTCCCACATTTGTATACAGTATGTTAAATTGTGATCCTAACGACCTATATTTCTACTTGTAATTTCTGTTTTTGTGTTTATTTATGTATCTACAAAATTTATATTTTACATTATTCTTCGTTATGATTATTAAATATTAAAGTTTTAAGTATACTTGGAAATGTTGTATTTTTATCATAAAAATTATTAATTCAAGAATTATTTATTACATGGAGTTGGTTAAATGAATGAGCTGCTTTCCGATCTAGAGAGGTGTGAAAAGGCCAGAACTCCTGAGGTTCTTGCAGTATAAGTTGGGCTAAACACAAAATTGGAATTCCTATTATGCCTGTCATTCATTTAAGAGACTCTGGTTTACTGAAGAATGGCATTTTCCATAGTTCTTTCAAACAGTTGCCAAGGTAGTGCCATGCCTTATAAATGAGTTTGATCCTTTTTTCCACATTCTCACACTCCATGGTTATCATCATCGTCATGGGCCCTAAAACCAAGGGTGGGTCTTGGCCTGTTCTCTCTCCGTAGTTAATGAGGTTAAAGGTGACTCAAATGTGCTGGTTATTTGTGGCTGTCCATCCATTCTTCATTCTTTGACTGTTAATGGCTTTAAAGTTGACTTGGCTGATCTGCTTATTTGGTGGTGCCAATCCATTCTTTTTTGTGGGTAATGGGTTTAAGTTACCTCAACTGCAGTTATTGTTTGTTGTCCATCTGTCCTGTGTGTCAGGTGTAACCTTGCAAGGAATGGGCATCAGTTTTTGTCTGAATGAAGAATATCCCTGTTTCTAGCTGCTTTTCAAAACATATAGTTGAATACCATCTTAAAATAAATGAGTCAGTTTGCACTTTAAATTCATAAGTGTAATTTAACCACTTATTTTCAGAGTTGCCATGAATAGTGTCTGTTTGCTACCTTTGTTTCTTCTAATTTTCTTTCTGTCTTTATTTCTGGATGATTTGGGTCTATTGTTTTCTCTTTCTGTCACCTGTAACAAAGACAGGACTTGATGAAAATAATTGTTATCAAGTCCCCACATGGTTTGGACCCTCCACCACCTCTGTAAGCACTGAGCAGCTTGATGTAGTAGTAAAGCCGTATAATTGTTTTTAATAGGGTACCAGGTTGGATGGTTTTCCAAGTTCCTGGCTATCCTCGTCAAGGTTTTTTATGGTTTTTCTCAGTCCTGCCAAATACATATTGAGGTACAACTTTCAAATAGGCCATACCATTTCAAAATCTTTACCCACTCTCCATTCATGATTATCTTTCCACCTCATTCCACACTCTGTAACCTCTACACTTAACTGTCACTGAAAAATTGGTAAGTCATCTACATGCTTCCTTGGGTTCATATTGTGAAGTCTGAACTTTTA